CAAGTACAAACAGAACAAGAAATTCTGAAATTATGGAGACTGAAGGAAGAAGCAAGAGGCAAGTAGAGCTTCATCACAGAAAAGAGGAGAAAGGGCGGGGTAGGGGGATGTTGGTTTGAAGGTTCTTGTAATCCAGCACTAAGCTATCTCCTGGGTTCTGGGACAGTGGCACGCCGTTTGTCTGGCAGCTCACCCCCTCTCTCTCCCCTCCCCCCCCCTCCCAAACTCCCAGTTCCCTCGGCACTCTCAAGTTACAAGTGAGAAGACGTCTTTCTTCCCGCGCGCCCCACGGTCGCCCCCACCATCATCCAGCGAGCGGTCACACTAGAGAACACAGTCGGTCGTGCTGTGCGATTCTTCTCAATTCTCAGGAAACGAAACGTCGTCGAAGCTTCGAGGTGTGAAGCCACTATTCGTGCTATTCGAATACCTGTGCAAATGGTGTTTCTCGGTAGCTTTATTAATGAATATCATGTATATGTACAATCTCCAAATTATATAGGACGACCACCCATCGTCGAGGAGAAAAGATGTTTTCTTAAACATGTTGGCGTTTCGGATAGTGTCAATGCAGTAATATAAAAAACACACAAAAAGCTGTTTGTACAGGTAGCTGTTTTGTACAGGCGGCGTTAAAGCAGTTTCAACTGAAAATGCAACCTGCAAAATTCTTTATTCTTCATTCATTATTATACAAATCTATTCACTTGTCATCTGCATTGTAATCACCAAAAATAAACTATTTAAAATCTTTACTTCAACACTTTAGATTATATTACATTATTATGTTCTAATTCCAAGACTGGTTGAGAAAAAAGAGAAAAAAACAACTCAATGGTCCGTACAAAATCAGACGGCTTTCGAATAACTCTGTCACGCTTCGACTAAATAGCGGGAAATTGTGAATGTCGAATAGTAACCTCGACTAAGCACATCTCTGGCAGCAGCACACACGGGACGGGATGCCATTTCCGCGGCTGACGCGGCTGGAGACGAGAGACTTCTTTGACTCTTGACGGCGACGCCGGCACCAGGGAGCGAGCTTACTGTAGAGTTACCGTAAACTCTCTAAAGCCGTGAGGGTTGAAAATAGTTTTTTGTGGGGTTTGGGGGGGGGGGGGGGGGGGGGGGGGTACTTTTATCGAACTTTTAGTACGTGGTAGCTTGTATTTTGCTATGAGTTATTCAACTTCATAATTTGTATGTATGATGTTGTGCGAGCGCGTTCGTTAAGCCTTCATTGCTGACAAACTGAAGAAAAAGAAGGGATGGGATTAGGAGGGAGAGAAAATTAACGGCAACGAGATTTAGCCGAACAAAAGCGGATGGAGGAAGGGGAAGTGAATGAAGAGAAATCAGACAAAAGGGGGATAATTCTGGGAAAGGGAGGACAAAGTGTTGGAAAAGAATAGGAATTCTAAGATTCCTGGGACATCTTTTATGTCCTTTAGAAGTCTCGGGGAAACCTGCAGCAACAATAAATCCAGGGGTATAAGGATAAGAGTGTAACTCAAAAATGAATTAATAGATAAAAATGAGGAGGTGTGCGTGTGTGGGAGGCAGGGGGTGGTGGAAGGAAAAGTAATGAGAGAGAAAGAGAGAGAGAGAGAGAGAGAGAGAGAGAGAGAGAGAGAGAGAGAGAGAGAGAGAGAGAGAGAGAGAGCACTGTGATTAGGACGACGTGATCTAAGACTAGAGAGATTGGGTAGCTTGACATAGGGGTGGGGGAGGGGTAGTTCTGGGATAGAGATAATAGAGATAGAGAGAGAGGGAGAGACAGAGAGAGAAGGCGGGATAAGGCGGGATTAGGTAGAGGGAGAGATAGAGAGACAGAGAGACAGGACATTAGGATAGAAGACGATGTGATGATCTACTGGGGGATTGGTGGCTGGACACGGGGGAGGGGGGGTAGGGGTGGTCTACATGAGAACGAGTCAGAGAGAGAGAAAGAGAGGGAGAGAGGGAGGAGAGGGTTTAAAGGTAGAGATAGAGAGAGATAAGAAAGGAGAAGGGGGGAGAGAAAGAAACAGAGAGAGAGAGAGAGAGAAAGAGAGAGAGAGAGAGAGAAAGAGAGAGAGAGCAAATAGATAGATAGATAGATAGATAGATAGATAGATAGATAGATAGATAGATAGATAGATAGATAGATTGGGGGTTGGGGGCGGGGTCCTGCTGTGATGTTTATGAATGTTTTCCTATGTTGAGACTGTTTGTTACTTTTCTAGTATGTGTCTATTTTGTAGACAAAAGGATATCAT